GTCATAGCTGCTTGACCACTACCCGAGGTAGTTGTCTTGCGGTGCGGGAGGTCGGTGGCACCACTTGGCCGACATTTGACTCATAATAACTATGGAGAGTGGTCGGTGACCATGAAGGTCAAGCTCGAGCCGGACGGCTCTGGAATCTTTCATGACAAGGGCACCGACGTGGAAGAAGACGACATGTCGGCGTTGGAGGCTATCCTCTCGCTTCTTTGTCTGCGAGAGTCTGAGGAACCGTTGGGGACGAAAAGCTCAACTAAGGAGGCGTGGGAGGCCATTGCGGCAATGCTTGCCGGTTCCGACCGCGCGCAAAGAAGGCGACGGCCCGGCTTACCACGAAGTAGGAGTACGCAAACCTCAAGTTCAAGGATGGTGAAACGGTGGAGGACTTTTCCTCTCCGGCTGCGGGACGCTCATCGCAAAAGTGAAGAGCCATGGCGTCCATCGATGAAGAGGAGGCGGTCTCCAAATTCCTCGCACTCCGTCTTAAAGCAAAGTACATCCAGATCGCTCTCTCCATAGAGATGATCTTTGGACTTGTCCACCCTCACCATCGAGGATGTGGCGGGCCGTCTGCGGGTGGTGGACGGCGCCTAGAGCAAAGCGGCAACAACGAAGGGACACGGAAACTCCTGGCGACGGAAGAGGAGGGCTGCTTTCGGCGAAACTCCCGGAAAGGCGGCCTCCTCCGGTCAGCGGTGGCAACGGCAAACATCACGGCATGGCTTCGGAGAAGAAGCAAATCGACTCAATGCCCGCCGATTGTGTTGGGAAGATGGGCCATTGGGCGCGGAGTGCCCAAATCGCAAGAAGGAAAAGAAGGCTCGAGGCTCACTGGCGAAAGCCGATGATGAGGATGAGGCCACTATCCTTATGGTGACGTTCGTATCGCACGCACGCCGAGGCCATGGAGAGGAAGAGGCGACAACGGTGGAAGGATCTAGCAAGGCCCTGAAGACTGTCAACCTCGACGAACCACGCGCCCAAGTCCATCTTGGGCATGTGGGCGTCGACCAGGAGCAGCGGTGGTATCTGGACTCTGGTGCTAGTAACCACATGACGAGCTCCAAGGACTCCTTCTCCGAGCTCGACGGTGATGTTACCGGTACGGTGAAGTTTGGTGACGGCTCAAGAGTGGCTATCCAAGGGCGTGGCACCATCATCTTCAGATGCCAGAACGGGGAGCACCGCGCGCTAACGGATGAATACTACATCCCGCAGCTGCGTTCTAGCATCATCAGCATTGGTCAGCTGGATGAGCACGGTAGCGAGGTTCTGATCAAGGACGGCGTTCTGAGGATCAGAGACCAGGAGCAGTGACTTCTCGCTAAGGTGAAGAGGTCCCTGAACTGGTTGTACCTGCTCGACCTGAAGGTAGAGCAGCCGGTTTTCCTGGCGGCAAGGCACTCCGAGGAACCGTGGATGTGGCATGCCCGGTTCGGACATCTCAGCTTCGACGCGCTTGGTCGGCAGGGGAAGATGGTCCAAGGGCTACCCCACATCAAACACAGAGGCGAGCTATGTGACAGCTGTCTAGCCAGGAAGCAGAGGAGGCTACCTTTCCCAAAGGCGGCCAAGTATCGCGCGAAGGAAGCTCTCGAGCTAGTTCACGGCGACCTCTGCGGACCGATCACGCCTGCTACATGCGGTGGTCGGCGGTACTTCATCCTACTCATGGACGATTGCAGTTGCTACATGTGGCTGCAACTCCTGACGAGCAAGGACGAAGCGGCGGTAGCGATCAAGAAGTTCAAGACGCGCGCGGAGGCCGAGAGCGGCAAGAAGCTCCGTGTACTGAGGACTGATCGGGGTGGCGAATTCACTTCGGTGGAGTTTGCTACGTACTGCGCGGATCAAGGTGTGGGGAAACATCACACCGTGCCGCATTTGCCGAGCGTAAACGCGAGTGGAGTGACGGAACCAGAGCGGTGGTCGGCATGGCCCGATCCATGATGAAGGCCAAAGGGATGCGGCAAAGTTTCGGGAGAGGCGGTGACCATGGCGGTGTTCATCCTCAACCGCGCTCCAACCAAAGCCCTAACGGGCAAGACACCGATTCGAAGCTTGGTGCACGGAGCAAGCCGAATGTGTCATTCCTCCGGACATTCGGTTGCATCGGCCACGCTGGGAAGACGGCCAAACCTCACCAAATTTGGAGGGCAGGAGCACACCCATGGTGTTCCTAGGCTACTGTGGAGGGTACCAAGCGCGCATCGGCTCTATGACCCATGCGGAGACAAGGTGATCTGTATCTCTCGCGACGTTGTGTTCAACGAGGAGGCGCTTTGGGACCGGCACGATTCGAGCACGGGGAAGCGGGAGGCTTCACCAACACCTTCGTCGTCAAGCACTTGGTCATCCACAGCGGTGGAGACGCATGAACAGTGCCATGCACTCGGGAGGAGCGCCGAGCACTCCGGCCGGTAGAGTCGAGCACTTCGGGGCGGTCTTGAGCACCGGGAGGGATGCCGAGCACTCCGGAGGAGTGTCGAGCACTTTAGGAGGGATGCCGAGCACGCCAGGAGTGGAGCCAGGAGGTTCTATAGTGGTGGCGACCACTTCAGGACGGGTGCCGAGCACTCCCGTGGTGGAGCCAAGACGTCTTACTGTGGTTCCGACCACTCCAAGACCGAGGTGGGCACTCCTATAGTGTGGCCGAACACCGCTGGAGTTATGACGGCGAGCCGAAGCGATAAAAAGCACTTGGTGCTATCTGCAGGCACTCCGCGAAAAAGTAACTCCATCACCCCCGATCAAGTTCACCTCAGGTCTGGCGGGTAGGCCGCTCAACGACGCAGAGCTGCTACTCGTCAGTGCAGAGGAACCACCCATGTTCGCGCTAGCTGAGCGCCGTGGAAACTGGTCACGGGCAATGCTGGAGGAGATGAAGGCGATCGAGGAAAACGAGACTTGGCAGCTCGTCGATCCACCCCTAGGATGTCGTCCGATCAGCCCGAAGTGGGTATACAAAGTCAAAAGGGACGAGCTCGGCGCCATTGTCAAGTACAAGGTGCGCCTCGTCGCCCAAGGCTTTGTCCAGCGTGAGGGCATCGATTTCGAGGAGGTCTTTGCACCAGTAGCGCGCATGGAGTCGGTCCGTTTGCTACTTGCTTTAGCGGCAGCAAAGGACTGGCGCGTCCATCACTTGGACGTTAAATCGGCCTTCCTCAACGGCGAGCTGGCGGAAACGGTTTTTGTTAGGCAACCTCTAGGGTCCGCTTTCAAGGGAGAGGAGCACAGGGTGCTCCGACTGCGCAAAGCGCTCTACGGGCTGAGGCAAGCCCCTCGAGCATGGAACACCAAGCTTGACACCACGCTGGGTGAGCTTGGGTTTCAGAGAGAGAAGCAGAACCGACACGCGCTACACGCTATTGACGATGGGGAAGGAAGAACTCATGGTCGGCGTGTATGTGGATGACTTAATCGCCACCGGCGCGCGTGCACGGAGGATATCAACGACTTCAAGCGAGAGATGGCGGCTCGTTTCGAATGAGCGATCTCGGCGCTCTCTCCTAATACTTTAAGCATCGAGGTGAGATAGGGAAGGAGGAACTCACGCTCAGCAAAGCGCGTATGCCTCAAGTCGTTGGAGAGAGAGCGGCATGGTGGAGTGCAAGCCGCGTGACTGATGGATGGAGGAAATTTGGAGTCGACGAAGGACAAAGACCGCGGTGAAAGTAGATGCAACACTCTACCGGAGCATCGTCGGCGATCTGCGCTACCTAGTCCACACAAGGCCGGACATTGCGTTTCGCCGTAGTGGGCTACGTCGGCCGCTTCATGGAGGATCCCGAGAGAGGATCATCTGGGTGCGGTGAAGCGGCTACTACGCCACGTCAAGGGGACGGTGAATCATGGAATCATCTTCCGAAGACCAAGGAAAGTAGGTGCGACTCACGGTATTCGCCGATGCGAGACATGGCGGGGGACATCGACAGACGACGGAGCACCTCTGGCGCACTCGCTTTCCCTCGGTCGGCCCTAATTTCATGGTCGTCATTCAAACAGAAGGTGGTGGCGCTACCACGGCGCAGGCGTAGTATGTAGCGGCGGCCACAATGGCGTGTTAAGTTGTGTGGTGGCTACGCCAGGCCGGGTGAGCTAACCGGCGTGGAAGCTCACCCACCGGCATTGATGGTGGACAACCAGCCCGCCATCGCCCTCGCGAAGAATCCGGTTCGCACGACCCGAGTAAACACATCGACGTGAAGTTCCACTTCCTCGTGGACTGTGTTGATGGAGGGCGGATCGTCATCGAGTTTGTCAAACCGGTCGGCAACTTCATGGACGTCCTCACCAAGCCGCCGGACGACTTCGACTCACTTGAGTGAAGGAGATGATCGGCATGGAGGGGTGCAAGGGTTAGCGAGGGATTAGGGAAGATTGTTAGCTAATCATCGCCACCTTGTGTGAAACACACAAGAGAGGAAGGCGGCGCCGACTTTGGCCCTCATGTCTGATACAAGAGTCGTCGCAGTGCAAGCGCCCACACAGCTCACCTGGCAAAGATCAGAGGCACATGCAATGGCCGTGTGCAGAGTCACCTCAGATACTTATCTAGTTATTGTTACAAAGATGTATGGGCTGTACTTTAGTTAGATAGATAGAGTTGTATAAATAGGGCACACAAGGGCAACTCAGTAAAGAGAGCTCAGATTTGCCATCACACAGACAGGGCCTCGGCCAACGTTGTTGTCTTGTATTATGCGTGCTTGCTCTGTTCTCCCTTCTTCTTCTAGTTCGATCCGTAGTGTGTGGGTACGGACACAACCGGTATAGTGGTCTGGGAGACTAGTGGTCTGGTCTGGAAGACTAGTGGTCTGGGAGACTAGTGGTGTAAGACTAGTGGTCTGGAGACTAGTTCACTATCGTCAGTCGGTGATCCCGTGGGCCAACAAATACTACAGCAATGCAACAACAGCAAATAGCAGACTTGTAAAGGATTGAAAAATTGAGAGTTTCAGACTCAGCAGCTGTATAACTATATTCGGAGAGTTTCAGACACAACAGAAATACTACAGCAATGCAACACGATTCAGATAGATTCAGACACAACAGCACTGACATCATAGTGAGAAGTATTATAAGGTACTGAGTTACTTGTTTACTTATTGCTGTAAGTAGTCCACTGGATTAGCACTTGTTCTATTTTTTAAAACCAAATAAATACAGAGAATACACAATGGGACACTAGAGTTGTCAAATGTACTTTAATTATCCCCACAAGTGAAAGAAATGCAATAACAACAGATATTTGTACAATGGTACATAATGAAATACTATTTCAACAAGGTAAATCCAGCTAGATTAGAAAAACTTACTGTTGTAAGAGTAGCAGATATCCTGCAGTTCTCATGGAGGAAGTAGCCATGGAGGAAGTAGCTCCAGTAGTTCTTAATGAAAGGGGAGCAGTGGAGGAAGTAGCCCCAGCACTGAATGGTGGAGGCAGGCAAGCGCTGCTCCAACCTGCAGGGGCGTGACCTCAAGGACGCATCCCGTCCAGACCCTGGCAGCCTGAACCAAGCATCCATGTGCTGGAAAAACAACAATATGCAGATAAATAATTATCAGCATCATATGTGTACTGCAGGAAGAAATCAATCTAGAAACCTGATAGCTGATCCAAAAATACAATCAAACAAGGTGGTGCAGCTACAACTTTGCTACAGCATGTAGTAGCCAGAACCCTTCGCAGTAGTGAACACTGCAAATACTACATCTATGCAACAACAATGCAACAGGATGCAAATATTCCTTAGCAGACTTGTAAGGCCGGAATGAAATTATTTAGAAATTTTTGTGTTCAGCTTCAACTTTCAGTAACAGAACTTAGAAATTTATGAGTTCAGCTTCCACTTTCAGCTTCCAAATTTTGCCTAGCTGCCTTTCAAGGTACTTCTCTGTCTCTAAATTTTCTTATCTTTCTTGCTATTTGCAATAGCAGCCTTATTTAAATGTGAGATTTGAATGCAAAATAGAAGCAGTAAAAACACACAACCTGTTTTGGAGGGGCTACAGCAGGAATAGCAGAGTAGAGCACACAACAAGAGGCCTGCATAAAAGAGCAACCAGACCAGCAACTATCAACAGCCCAGAAGTTGCATAAATTGAAATTAAATAGTTCGAATGTACTGTTATTTTTTTTCCGTTTACTAATTTTCGATATGAAAAACTGAAATGTAAGAAGTCCAGTAGACAAGATTCACTAACCCGTAGACAAGATTATTCAACAGCTGTTTTGAGAGGCAGCCGGCTGTGGCCAGCTAGGACCTAGAGGACTCCTGGCCACTGAAAATAGGCTATGGCTAGCATCTGTGAAAACAGAACACAAGGAACAATTAAATTGATAAACTGAACATATCTTAGATAAGGCAGAACAATGAATTAAGCAGAAGAGAGATGTGCTACAGTCATAGCAAAAGAAAAGAGGCTTTTCCTTCGGAACTGCACACGAAACCTTTTTGTATATCCTTTGCATTACCTTGAATAACCTAATCAAAAGTGCTATTCTAGCAGCATCTGATGCAACTAAGAACCCAGCAGTCTATATGGCAATAATTTATTTTGAAATGTTACAGATCTAGAGTTGCTGGCGTGGTGGGTATCAAGCAGCCAGCATCTCTCTGATCCTTTGCACTTGCTTGCCTAACACAGACCAGTACTAGTCGCATTGAGTGATGTCATTTACAAATTCAGGATAAGTCCATATGCTATTTCAAAACCTCCTTTGCTCTGAGGACAACCAAACACCTCTACAGGCTAAAAAAAACTAAATTTTCTAAAGTTTAGATGTTCAAATGCCTTATCTTTGGAAACTCAGACCAAATTTCACAACGGAACTGCTGCTGGCCAGAGAAGAAGTGATCACCCCAATCTGTTTGTCTGAAGCAAAGGGGACGGAGCAGGGTCTGAGCGTTGGAATCACTGGAAAGGGAAGCTTTCCCATGGGGACTCGCCTACAACAGCATCAACGGAACGGGAACCGTGGCGGACATAATCGCACCTTGGGGTTGTAGGCGAGGATGTTGCGGGGCCGGCCATCACCGCACCATGCTCCTTGGGGTCGCAACCAAGGATGTTGCAGAGACAGTCGAGGTGCTCGCTCTGGTCCTCGGCTCCTCGCCTCGAAGTGGCTGCGCGACGCAGCGAGTGCATAGTCGTTGTCGGCGGCCGCCGTTGCGGCCTCGTCCTCCTCGGAGCCGGCAGCACGTGCGGCCTCCTGAGCCCGCAACGCCGAGCGCAGGGTCGTGGATGACAGCCGCCGCGGCGGCCTCGTCCTCCCTGGAGCTGGCGCCCATAAGCCCTTCCGGGCCCGCACCATCGACGCTGCCACCCGGGCCAGCACCGCCGCCGCCGCCTCCCAGGCCCGTCTCGCCGCCGCCATCGCCTCGACTCATACCTTCCTCACCGGATCTGCGTTGATGGGCGCGCATCGTGCGATGGGTGGCGGCCTAGCGGGGAACGACGGTAGCACTGTGCGAGATCCGGAAGGATGTCGGGCGGGGGGCGCTAGGGTTAGGGGAGGGGTGGGTCTCTTTGTTTGGGGCCATTTTTGGTGCTTGACACCCGCTTGTTGTGATTTTGACACATTGTTTTGGCGCCCGCGTATTTCCGTCATTGCCTTTTTTCTGAATTTTACTGCCTCACATGAGTTTTAGGCGGGCTGGCATTTTTCATACACATGGATCATTTTTCACATATAATTATTGCATACATACAATTTAAATACATTTTTACGTAATTTTTTCAGTAGGAGTACACACAATTCAGCTTAGAATTTGTTCCAATTGACACAAAGAAATTCATTTAAACAACTTCCAAAATTTTTAAAACCTCATATTTTTTAACTTGTGGTAAATGTAAGGTTTTGTCTAAATTTGAGGTGCATATTAGTTCAAATTTTAAGTGACCATGGTTCAACCAACGTTCGATGCATATGTATGTTAAACATTTTAACATGAGTCTATAGCTTAGTGGTAAGGCTTGCTTTGTTTTTATAGTTTAAATCCTCCTCTCTATAAATTTAGTATTTCTTTTCACATTTTTCATGCGACCTTATTGTGCATATATAAAAAAAGCAACAATCGTCCTCTATTGCAAATTGGACTAGCGTGGAGCCAACACTGTGGTCCAGTGGTTCCCTAAACAAGGGGGGAGTTTGCAACTTAACTTTTTTTAATCTCTACTTGTGTATTAATTATAAAATTAACACACAAGTAGAGATTAAAGTATTTGTGTATATAACGTAGACACGGATAGCTCGTAAAAATAATATAGTTATCAATAAATATTTAATTCGGAAGAGATTCGGCGCCTGAGGGCCGAGGTCACCCGGTAGCAGGATGAGGTGCGCAAGCTCCGGGCGGACGTGGACAGTAAGTCTCTAGCTTCCCTTGTTATTTTTCTTCCTGAAATCCGTGATAGGCCATTTAACATGGTCGGTATGTCACTTGGGTAGGTCTTGATGACAAGCTCGGGATGGAGGTGGTGAGGAGCCGTGGCCTGGAGAAGGAGCTTGGCGAGGCGAAGGACGTCCTCCAAAAGGAGAGCGATAAGCATGACAACCTCCGGCGTCGTCGTCCGGCTAGTGTGCGACGAGTTGAATCGCCCGGAGTAGGAGACAAGCTCCTTCATGGGTTCGCGCCACCCGGATTACGGACCGGGCGCGCGAGATGGCGAGAAACACACTCCACCTCGGCGTTCATCGCTGGTTCGCGATCGCACGTTCTCACTATGAGAACATCGATCTGGCGACGATGAGCCAGGGCTTCGCACTCGGCTACTCTGAGTCCGAGTTGGACGAGATCGAGGAGGCGAGGCACCCCTGGTCCCTCATTATCGAGAGAAAACTTTTAAATATGTTTATGATACCTTGTTTTCTTCGCAAATACGGATATCGTCAGATATTGTCGAATACGGATCAGGAATCGGATAGAGAAAAACACTAAAAAATGAATTCAGATATATCCATTTAGGCCCCGTTCGGCTTACCCCATATTCGGTTTGTTCGTCTTCTTTTTTCAGCCGGAACAATGTTTTTCTCTCACAACAATTCAGTCAGAACAGTGTTTTTCAGCCAGTTTCTGCCAAAGTTCTGCCAACCGAACGGGTGATAGGACTAGGCGGCCTTTGGACGTCCGATAGGCCTACTGCTACAAATAGGCGCAGTCGACAGGCTCCTATCGGTCCTCCGGACTCCTGGCCACTGAAAATAGGCTATGGCTAGCATATGTGAAAACAGAACACAAGGAACAATTAAATTGATAAACTGAACATCTTAGATAAGGCAGAACAAGGAATTACGCAAAAGAAAAGAGGCTTTTCCTTCAGAACTGCACACGAAACCTTTTTATATATCCTTTGTCTTACCTTGAACAACCTAATCAAAAGTGTTATTCTAGCAGCATCTGATGCAACTAAGAACCCAGCAGTCTATATGGCAATAATTTATTTTGAAATGTTACAGATCTAGAGTTGCTGGCGTGGTGGGTATCAAGCAGCCAGCATCTCTCTGATCCTTTGCACTTGCTTGCCTAACACAGACCAGTACTAGTCGCATTGAGTGATGCCATTTACAAATTTAGGATAAATCCATATGCTATTTCAAAACCTCCTTTGCTCTGAGGACAACCAAACACGTCTACAGGCTAAAAAAAAACTAAATTTTCTAAAGTTTAGATGTTCGAATGCCTTATCTTCAGAAACTCAGACCAAATTTCACAACGGAACTGCTGCTGGCCATAGAAGAAGTGATCACCCCAATCTGTTTGTCTGAAGCAAAGGGGACGGAGCAGGGTCTGAGCGTTGGAATCACTGGAAAGGGAAGCTTTCCCATGGGGACTCGCCTACAACAGCATCAACGGAACGGAACCGTGGTGGACATAATCGGACCTTGGGGTCATAGGCGAGGATGATGCGGGGCCGGCCATCACCGCACCTTGGTCCTTGGGGTCGCAACCAAGGATGTTGCAGCGACAGTCGAGGTGCTCGCTCTGGTCCTCGGCTCCTCGCCTTGCAGTGGCTGCATTGAGAGTGTAGGCACCGAAGATCAACTTGCCGATATATTCACCAAGCCATTGGATGAGAAAAGGTTTTGCAAGCTAAGGAATGAGTTGAACATATTGGATTTCTCAAATATGTGTTGATGCACCCCCACTTATATGACATGCCTCTTCTTCGAGCAATCCAAGGTAAAAGTTGATTGGCATGACATACATCCTTGCTAAGGATATGTTTAGTGCATCTAGACATCTTTCACATTCAATAGGCTCATTCATGAAAATCAAATGAATTTGATGATTGTATGGTACCACTATTGCTTGTATGCTTATTTTGATCTAGTGGTAGCATATGACATGTTTGTGGGCTTGTAAACCTAGTGTTTAATCTAGAAAATAAGCTCTAAGTGTTTAACTCAACATGGTACAAGATAACCCTTATTTGGAGGTGTGAAGAAGCTTGTCCTTGGATCAAACTGAGTTAAATATCTTTGGCAAACATTCTAGTTTGAACCAAATTTGGGAATATGATCCTCATCCCATTGATTGACATTGATAATCTCAACCTATCTAGTTTTTGAACCTTTGTGGTCATTGATGACAAAGGGGGAGAGAAACAAAGATATTAGTACATGGGAAGAAAAACAAAGATATTAGTATACTAAGATAGTGAAAAGACAACAAAGGGGAGAACTTGACATAGGGGGAGAGATATGACAAAGGAAAGGAATCAATTCAAATTTTGAGCACACAAGTAGGGGGAGAAAGCTCATGAACTTGTATGGTGCATTTGAATGTGCATTTCATATATTTGCTTGCATGGCACAAGTTTTAAATTTCAATATCCATGCTTGTGTGGTGTATGCTAGTTGTAGGTTTGAATGATGAAATGAAAAACTAGCATGCATAGGATATCTAATGATTTCATTTCCAAGTATTTCCAAGTGGTATCAAGCTAACCATGGTGCTAAGGATGGTATATTGGTGCACTCCGATTGGTATCACGCTTCAAAGGTCAATCTTTTATACCTTAGCATCATTTGGTAGGCATTGTCTTCTATATTTCCTATCTAAGCATATGTGCAAGCTTCACTCCAAACTCTTAGCACATATGTAGGGGGAGCAATTGCTACCATTTGGGGTTCATGAAACTTGTCCATATCCTTTTGCACATAGTAAATATGCTTGGACAAGCAACATGGATTCAATTGAATTTCAATTCATATCTTTGTAAAAGGGTTGTCATCAATTACCAAAAAGGGGGAGATTGAAAGCTCTAGTTTGGTTTTGGTGAATTGATGAAACCCTAAGTGCTAACCTAGTTTATTAAGTGATCATGAGATAGGTAGCACATTCCAAGTGGTGAAGCAAATAAAGATCATGACATGAAGATGGCGATGCCATGGTGATGATCAAGTGCTTGGAATTGAAAAGAAGAAAGAGAAAAACAAAAGGCTCAAGGCAAAGGTATAAATAGTAGGAGCCATTTTGTTTTGGTGATCGAGACACTTAGTGTGTGTGTGATCAAATTTAGGATCGATAGCCATACTATTAAGAGGAGTGAAACTCGTTTCGAAATACGGTTGTCAAAGTGCCACTAGATTCTCTAACTCATTGCATATGCATTTAGGATCTAGGGGAGTGCTAACACCCTTTAAAATGTTTGTGAAAATATGCTAACACATGTGCACAAGGTGATACACTTGGTGGTTGGCACATTTGAGCAAGGGTTAGAAACTTCACCGGCGGAGTGTCCGCCCGTTGAGTGCGGACAGTCCGACGGTGCCACCGACGCCCTAAACAAAAAAGACAGAGGTCACTGGAAGTGACTGGACACTGGCCTCGGTTGGACTGGCACGTCCGGTCAGTTGAAACAGCGAAGACGCTGGCGTCGGTCTCTGACCGGACGCTGGGTCACTTAGTGACCAGACGCTGATAGGGTGCGTCCGGTCCTACTGACGTGGCAATGCACAAGGGAGTCGCCGTGTGACCGGACGCTGGGTGTGTCCGGTCAAGCATATGACTGGACGCGTCCGGTCATGAAAAGTTGTCTCTCGATGCTTACAGGAAATGACCGGACGCTGGGGTTCAGCGTCCGGTCACTTTGAGCTGCTACGTCCGGTTGTCACTAGACCATTGAGATCGGGCGATCAACATTTGAAGAGAGGGGACACATGGCATGCATCGCGTGACCGGACGCTGAAGTCCAGCGCCGGTCAATATGACCGGAGCGTCCGGTCACCCCGCGTTGTGCCCAGTGATGGGGTACAACGGCTCCATTTCGTGGGGGCTTCTATTTAAGCCCCATGGTCGGCTCTAGCTCACTCTCATGGCCATTTGCATTGACATAGCAACCTTGTGAGCTTAGCCAAAGCCCTCCCACTCA